AGAGATCTAGATATGGTGGATGATTATTCTTGGGGGAAACTGCATTTGCCTACTTGTATAAGAAGTTGAATGTTAAGACGAAGACCAAACAAAGCAGTTATTATGATATATGACACATTATCAAGTAACACATTTGTGTCTTATTTATTTATCTCTTCAAAAATAATTAGCATATAATATTCTTTATTTATTAGTATTCATCGATACAAATATATATCTATCACAATTTTCTAGGTATTAGTGGACGAGAGTTTGACTTAGAGTACATAGAGACTAAGCTCAGTTCCAATGACTTCATTCTAATAAAGGTACATCTTACTATATATACATATAAGGAGCACATATATCATATGCTATTGAAGGATGTGAGGTTTGAGAACTACACCCCTATCGAGAAACACGATCGTTGGATGACATATACTTTTTTCTGGATGAATTATATATGAATTGCGCAAAATATGGTATGTACATGAGCGATTCTTATGCAAGTACATGTACAAGAGATGATTTGATTGAGACACAACTACTTAAAAAGAAAATACCAGTAGAGTATACTTCTTCGAAATTTAGGTATCTCATTCAAATACATTAATCTTTATAACTTAGAGAAAATATGTGTTTGATTGTTCGCAGGAAACATGAAAACTTGAACGCAAACCTGCAAGTGTTCTCATCTAACAAAATCATCATATGAGTTTTGAGGATTGAAGTTCCAAAGTTGACAAGGGTCAATGTTAGAGGTTAGTGGGAAATTTCATTTATTTGGCACACACTAAGACAAATTTGGCATATGCAATCAATGTGGTGATCCAATTTATGCGTGGTTCGAGGGTGATATAGTTTTAGGTTGTAAATTGTATTCTACAATATCTCAAAGTCACTCGAGGAAGAGGACTTTGTTTCAAAATAAGCGGAAGTCTAACTATAAATGTTTTTACACTGATGTTGATTATGTAGGTTCATTGAATGATAAAAGATTCACTTCAGGGTATTATTGTGTGACAAACTTATTGTTGTGAGGAATAAGAAGCAAATTCCAGTTTCTCTATCAAGTGCTGAAGCATAATTCAAAGTTATTGCATTAGGAATTTGTGAACTATTAAGGATGAAACAAGTTTTGGAAGATTTAAATATACAAAGTGAACACCATATAAAGTTGTTTTATGACAATGAACTGACCATCAATATTGCACATAATCTACTTCAACATAACAGAACAAAACATATTGAGATTGACCTACATTTTATCAAATAAAAATTGGATAATGGATTGGTAACTGCCGCATACATACCTTCTGGGGTAGCACCTACATGTGTGTTAATGAAGAGTTTATCAATTGAATCATTCAACCAACTTACTTAAAAACTTTAAATGATTGATATTCATTCACCTATTTAAAGTTAAGTGTTGTACATATTATACTGTAAATAATAACATTTATAATTATTATACTTTATTAGTATGATGCACATTGAGTAAGTTCATTAGGTTTTGATTTATCACTATTTCAACAAATTTAGTCTAGTATTGTAAATGAAAACTTTGAAATATATTAAAGTACTTTTCTACATGGTATCATATCCTCTTTGATTTTAGAATCTGAATCACTACTTTAAGCTTTGAACTCATTCTTTTTTCTATCACTTTAACATGTTTCCCTTCTTCAAACTCTTAAAACCCTAAATATGAACATCTTAGCATTAAACTTTTTTTTATAGTTTTCATTTCATTCTTGTTTTATGTTGCTTGTCTAATTTTTTTTCTTATTTTTTTTCAATTTTGCGTGGTGTCCTTGAAATGTATAAATAGTGAAAAGAAGATAATTTCTTTGAATAATTCTATAGAGGATTGGTTCATTGATGTCATTCGAGAAAGTAGACTTTCCAACCTCACCACCATAAGATTCAACATAATTGACCATGGCCTCATGACAACCTTCTCAAAAAAGTGGCACGAGAAGACGAACACCTTACATTTTCAATTTAGAGAGATGAATGTGACATTTGATGACATGTCATGTATTCCTTCACTCTTCATCCATGGATATCATCTTGACCACATAACTATTATCAAAGATGAAAACGTGAAGTTGATGATTGTGCTGCCCAGATCAGACCCAATGAAGGCCATTAAAAAAGTTTGAAATATCAGACATGTCATGCTCAATTCAACTTCCTCGGAGACAAGTTTGAGAGATATATTTTAGGTGTGAGTTCCGAGAAGTAAAAGGGTGACAATGTTGAGGCTCACATGCACAAACATTTAACATTAAGACATATCTCTTATTTTCGATAGGCTCTACCATTTTCTTGAACAAGAGTGCAGCCTACACCCACCTGGTATATCTCTAATTTTTGAGAGACCTAGATATGGTGGATGACTGCGCCTGAGGGCTACTGCATTTGTCTACTTGTATAGGGAATTGATCTGACCAGTTGATCAGAATAGGTGAGTGGCCAGCAACACGTCTGCAGTCTTGAACGGTTGACGAATGAGGGGTTGTACCTGCGGGCACTCTGATGCTTAAGTCAGTTTGGGTGAATTGATAAGTAAAAAAGGCTTAAAGAATAAAATAAATGACCCTCCTGTAGAGGAGGGTTTTTATAGTGAGCCTCCAACGCTTGACCAATGGTCTTCATTATGAGCTGAGTGTTTAGACCCACAACGGATGACTACCAGGATTCCCATGTGAAAGCATGGATGAGCAGCTTGTGCTCATCATCCTGGGTCAACCGCTTCGCACTCCCCGGCTAGTGGATGAACTTTCTCGTTACGAAGGGCAAAACGGCTCTGTGAAGTGTGTGAGTTCAGTTGGTGATGTGTCATTGGGTGAGGAGCAAGTGGGGAACGTGTTCTCCATTGGCCCCAACAGGTTGGGCCAACACTCTGGACCGTCCTCGACATAGAACTGGATTAGGTCGTGCTCGATGGTGGATCAACCACACGCCCAATCCAGAACAAGAATTAAATGTTATGACGAAGAAAAAGTCAAAATTGTTACAATGATATATGAAACTTCTTCGAGTAATGTATTCGTGTATTATTTAATTATACGCTAAAAAATAATTATTATACAATATTTTTTATTGATTAGTATACAATGATACAAGTATAAATATATCACAATTTTTCATGTATTAGTATATGAGAGTTTAACTCAGAGTACACGGAGACAGATCTTAGTGTCATCGTCTTCATTTTGATGGAGGAACATCCTATTACATATCCATCTCAAGAGCGCCTAGATCGCCTACTACAGAAGGAAATGGAGTTTGAGAACTACACCCCAATAGAAAAACGTGCGTGTTGGATAACATCTACACTTTTACTAGTTTTATTAGATATGGATTACACAAAGTATGATATGTACATGAGTGAGTTCTATGTCAATTTAGATACATATGGGATATTCACAAACATCATGCCATCACATATTAACCATAGTTATGCTGAGTACTTGGACTATATTTTGTCCCCTAGGGAGCAAAAGGATTAGGTGTGACATGGTTGAGAAACTGTACAAGGATACATTAGGTGGTATCGTATGATATCATATTCCTACTTGACTCCCACACTAGAAGGGTAACCATTTATACCAGTTGAGGAAGAAGTCCATGCAGAAGAGACTGAGGAGAATGGCAGTGCAGATAGTCTGGTCCATGCATACACACATCCGAGACTTGGGCACATGAATACTTTCTTTAGGGATTGTACAAGAGGAGATTGATGTCAAAAAAATTATCCATGTTATTTTGAGGGAAGCTAAAACTGCCTTGCATATGAAGGACGTGAAGATTGGGGTCATTAGTTCTTGTGCGATCGAATATGACATAACTTTTTTAGAATCGTTTTGTTTGTATTTTGTGTGCAATGTTATCATGTCTTCAGCTTGATCTATTACATTATATGTAATTTTAGATTTTTTGATTTAATTAGTTTTTTTTTTATGTTATTTTAAGTTATTATTTATGTTTGTGTAATTTAATGATCTTATTATCAAATAAATAATGGACCGTCATATTATCACAAACAATTTCACATTAATGTGTCATTTTAATCCAAGCTCTATAATCCAAATCCAATCTAAGGGTTTTTTTTTATTGCATGGTACGGATTCAAAAATCTAAGACGTATCATTAGACTCTTTTGTGTGGTCTAAATTGCAATGACATTTTGAGTAGACTAGAATATACATAAGTTTATATAAAAACGATGTATTTGATTTATTTGCAATTCACATTAGAAAAATAATGAACTCTTCTTATTCATACCTAGACATAATAAACTTTAACATAGTTATAATTTACTACAATAAAAGACTCCTTTCCATTTGTTCATGATTACACATCTAATTTGAAACACCAATTGTACCAAATAAATCTTTGTCTCAACCATGTGACACAAGGATGGTCAATGTTGAGTATTGTCACCATTAATCGACAATGACGTTCGTGCTCAATTCACCAACATACAACTTTAAAACGATGATGACATGATAATCATTTTCTTTAATATTTGACTAGTATAATTCCAAGGGACAAATCGAGTTAGATAGTACCTTAGTCAAGTCCGCTCGTGCTATCTATTCAATCTGATAGATAAAAAGTACGGGCCTTAAAGTTACAAGGTTAAGTTTTTAGCATTGAGCTAGCTAACATCTCATAATTGACAAGCCATTTATAAAAATGTGAACTATAAAAATTGGGTATAGTATACTGAAACAACATGCAGAAAAGATACATAAAAGATTGTACATTAGCCACAAACTAAACTCACAATGACCTTACACTACTAGATACATACAAAGCATACAAAAAGGAAATGTTATTACTGATTGAACATACTGTGATTTCATAGAATAAAATCTGCAGCACTCTTACCAATAAACGCGATTCGGAGAAGCGAAACTCTTTGCTACGGATCAGTTCACCAGCATTGGAAAGAATGCTACCGCAATTCCAACCACAGTCCAAACACAGCCGACGAATACGGCCGACGTCTAATTGAGAGCATTAGATGCGGAGTATATGAAATCCAAGAAACCTGTTCCTTTTAAGAGTCCCTTGCCTGTTAAAAGTTCAAAATCCAACAACAGAAGGAATCCAATTACAGCCGCTTTACCGTTTATTATTTCGTTCTTTCTACTGAAGCCAAATCCCAGTTGAGTCTCATCAACCACCATCTTAACCTAAACAGTCATAGAAAAGGAATCAGATTTTTCAGAATGCAATTGCAATGAGTCCAAAAATAATTGATGAAAATGTTTCTCTTGTTATGTTACCTCGTCGACATTGACATCGGTTGCTGTAATACCGGGTTGCGCTTTCCCACTAAAGACAATTTCAGTAGCAGCATCAGATTTGAAACCTCCTGTGATACTGATATAAATATTTTTTTCATCTGTTTTGACAGGGTATACAAAGAGATTCCTCAAAGCCGGCGTTAGAACTTTCAGAACAGGATTGTTTGGATACCATTCTTTGATCTCTCCCGTTCTTAGATCAAATGTGCTATCAGTTGTTGGACAAACTACACAACCATCCTGCATAGACACAGCAATTTTAAAGATCAAAACTTCAAAAAACACTTCTAGTGTTTCATATCCTATGAAGCACAAACACATACACGAACACCAGATACAACACAGACACTAACATGCCTAACACCGGTAATATTTCTTTAGAAAAATGAATAAATTGTCAGTATCGACGTTAGTGCTATAGAGTTCATATCTAGCATCGCAATTAAAAGCTAAAAAGCAGCAAGTAGCATTGTAATCGAAACATGGCCTAAGTAACTAACCTGAGTGAGCTTAGCATTTAGCAATCCTTCGGAGTATGCACCTTCAGCAGGTGACCTATTTTCAATGGCGAATATTTGATCTTTGTACCAAAGAAGCAATATGGTTTCCCCTTCTTGAATAATCACGCGCCGCTCTCCTCTGGGCAGCGCTGACACTGGAACTACTGGAACCCAGTTTCCGGATGGGGATGACTCTTCAGTGACGGAGACTTGTGTGGCCTTACATGTGGTGGTGGTGAGTCGGAGAGACTTTGGGCGTGCATAGTGGTTTGAGGGACGGGTGGAAAGGAGAAGAAATGGTTTTCGAGGGAGAAGGAAATGGGGAGATGTTTGTGTTTGGGAGGAGCAGGAGAGTGGTAGAGGGTTGGTGGCAGCCATGGAATAGAGGTTGTGAGAAGAAGGAAAGTGTTGTTGGAGAAAGAAAGGAACTGCATGTGTGGAGGGATGGGTGGTGGGAGTAAGTCCACACAATTGTAAGCAACTGGATAATGAATCATGTTCTTGTGTTTCTGGCTTGGCCACATTTCTAATTAAAGTCAATAGGTAAATTCATGATTCAATTTCATTTACATTTAATTTGGTTTTTATTTGAATTTGATTTTAATGGTTCAGATAATATAAATATTGAATTGAAGTTTCAATTGTAACATAATTAGAGTGTAATTATTTTGCATCTGAAAAGTTAGTTACAGACTTTTCATTTTCTCTTTCATTATCTTCAACCTTGTGTTCCAACAATTGATATCTAGAACTCTAGTTCAAATAACGGGAAACACGAATGTACGTGAGATGTGTGTGATTGATTCAACTCATTTAATTCAGAGTGAATTGAAGATCTGAGTCAAAATAGAATCACATTATTTTATTTGAGGGATTGAGAAACACGAGGTTTGTGAGTTTTAAGTGAATTTGCACAAGAACGGAGATGAACGGCGAAAACGGTAGTTTGAAAATAAAACTTCCAGTCTTTGATGGAAAGAATTGGAATTGATGGATGATTCTGATGTGTGTGTTGTTTAGAGCTCAAGATGTTCTTGATCTCGTCAATGACAGTTACACGGCGGTTGCAGCAGATGCAATTGAAGCACAAAGAAACACGCATAGAGAAATGAGGAAGAATGACCAGAAGACGTTGTTATATATCCATTATTGTGTCAGTATGAATGTGTTTGAGAAGATCGTTGATTCAATGACGACGAAGGTTGTATGGGACACTCTGGTGCTATAGTGGTGATACATCAGTGACGAAGGTGAAACTTCGGTCTTTACGAAAGCAGTATGAGAATCTCAACATGAAGGTACATGATTACATCTTCAGAGTGATTTTGTTCACAAATTAGATGAAATCTTGTGGAGAGACTCTCTCTGAACAAGTAATCATTGAAAAGGTACTGGGATCACTTACTCCTCTATTTGATTACATTGTTGTAGCAATTGAACACTCTAAGGATCTCAACACCATGAGAATTGAAGAGCTGCAGAGTGTCTAGAGGCACAAGAGTTGCGTCTGACTGAGAGAAACTCTGAAAGAGAGGTAGAGCAGACTCTGAAAGCGCCTTCTGGTAAGAATAACTAGAAGCAGTCTTGGTCATAGACCAAGAAGAAACATGGTGGTGGTTATCTGAAGTCATAAGCCTCAAACTCTGATGAGAAGAAATATCAGAAGGGAAATGAAAAGTTTGACAAGAAGAAAGTCCAATGCTACAATTGTATGAAGTTTAACCACTTTGGTGCTGACTGTTGGTCAAACAAGGAAAGGAAATCAGAAGAAGACATAGCCGTAGGAGAGCTTGATGATGAACCTGTGCTATTGATAGCTTCAGAATCTGATGGTGGATATTTAGTAGACTGTGGTATATGGACATTGGCTGCTCAAATCAGTTAACTGGAAACAAATAATGGTTGATTGATTTTGACTCTAGGAAGAGGATAAAAATCAGATGTGTTGATGATAAGTATTTGAATGCTGAAGGAATGGGAAATGTCAAAGTCAGAGTGAAAAATGAGAAAAATGTTTTGATCAAGGATGTTTGGTTGTTCCTGGTATGAAGAGTAATGTGATGAGTGTAGATCAGCTAATTGAGAAAGGTTTCTTAGTTACTATGAAGGATGATCTCTTGAAGTTGTACGATTCTGATCAGAAGCTGATTACGCAATCTGGACAGGGAAGCAACAGAATACTCAAAGTGATTGTGGAAATAACTAAAACTAAATTCCTTATTGCAGAAGGTGTTGAAGGTGACAACGAGTTGTGGTACAAGATATTAAGGCATCTGAACTTCAAAAACTTAGGGCATCTGAGTTCTAAGAAACTAGTACATGATATTCTTAAGATTGTGAATCTTGAGAAGTCATGTGAGATATGCGTGAAAGGAAAACAACCTAGATTGTCATTGGCATCAGAAGTGGCTCCAAGAGCAAAATATGCTTTGAGAGTAGTGCATTCTGATGTATACCTTCACTTGGAGGAAACAAGTACTGTGTCATTTGTGGATGAGTTCACAAGAACGGCATGGGTAGCACTCATCAAGTTTAAGCATGAGGTGTTTGCTGAGTTTCAAAAGTTAAAGGTGAATGTTGAAAATTAGAGTGATCAGAAGCTTAAAGTTCTCAACACTGATGGTGGAGGTGAGTATAACTCATCAGAGTTTAGAAGATTCTTTGAAGAGAATGGAGTTGAACATGGGGTGACTGCTTCATATACTTCACAACACATTGGTCTTGCTGAAAGAAGAAACAAGATTTTGCTTGATATGACAAGGAGCATGTTGAAGGAGAAAAAGTTGTCTCGCACCTTTTAGGGAGATGTTTTTGCCACTGCAGTATATGTGCTCAATAGGTGTCCAACTAAGAAGCTAAAGGAAATTGTTCCTTTCAAGAAGTGGACTGGAGATAAGAAAAGTGTGAGTCCTTTCAAGGTATTTGGTTATGTTTGTTATAAATATTTTACAGGTTCTACTAGAAAAAAAGCTAGATGATAAAAGCAAAGTAATGTTACTGATTGGGTACCTTAGTACAGATGCTCATAAGTTTTAGTGTCCAATCACTAACAAGGTGGAATTCAACAAATATGTCATGGGTAAGGAAACATAAGCATGGGATTGGAACAAGTATCAATCCAATTTGGTGTTGTATTAACACCCGAGTTAACTTCTAAAGATATTTAAGACTCTAAAGGAGAATCAGGCTCTGAAGGAGATTCTGCCTCTGAAGATGAGTCAAAGTCTGATGGTGACTCTGATGCTGAAGTTAAGTTTGAAGGCAAGTTTAACTCTCAAGGTGAATCTGATTATAATCTTGATTTTGATGATGGTCCAGACTCTGGTGGTAATCATGCCTTTTAAGGTGGTCATGCCTCTAAAGGTTGTTCAGCCTCAGAGGCCACAAAGAATCATATAAATGCTAGAAAGATTTTCAGAGTTTAACATGTTTCAAGATATTGAGATAGACTCTAAATGGGAAGTCATTCAGTGTGCCATGTAGGTTGACTTTGAACTAGTTAGTACTGAAGAAGCCTTCAAGAAGAAAGTATGGCCAAAGGCCATGAAAGAAGAACTTATGGCTATAGAAATAAACAAGACTTGGGAGTTGACTGAGCTTCCAAAGAGCAATAAATTCATCTGTGTGAGATGGGTTTACAAGTTAAAACTGAAGCCATATGGATCAATTGAAAAAAACAAAGTAAGCTTAGTATCTAGAGGATTTCTACCGAAATATGGATTAGATTACTTTGAGGTGTTTGCACCTATAGCTCGACATGAAACAATCAGATTGGTGATTGCTATAACTGCTAATAGAAATTGGCCTCTAACGCATTTAGATGTGAAAATTCCATTTCTGAATGACTCTTTTCAAGAGAAAGTTTATGTGTCATAACCTCTTGGATTTCTAAAAAAGGATCAGGAATGGATGGTGTATAAGTTCCATAAATCCTTGTATGGACTGAAACAATCTCTTAAAGCTTAGAATCTAAATATCGATTAATTTTTCAAGCTTTAAGGATTCAAAAAATATGAGATGGAGTATGGTGTTTATCTTCGGCATACATCTGATAGCAATATTATTTTGGTGTGTTTGGTATGTTGGTGACATATTGCTAACATGGAGCTGTTGAGATGAGATAGTCAAGTTCAAGAAGGTGCTAATGAATGAGTTTGAGATGACTTATCTAAGAAATATGGTATATTTCTAGGGATGAAGATTTTGTACTCTGATGAGGTTATAATTTTGCATCAGCTAAAGTATGAACCTGAGCTTCTCAAGAGATTTGAGCTAATAAATTGCAAGTCTGCAATCACACCTGCTGAAACAAATCACAAGTTGGATTATGATGTTGAAGGTGATTATGTAGATGCTACAAATTTTAAACACTTGGTAGGCTCATTGATATATCTCTGTAACACCAGAATTGCCATCTGCTATGCAGTTGGAATAGTGAGTAGGTTTATGAACAAACCAAAGTGGTCAAATTACCAAGCTGCTCTCAGAATACTGAGGTATATTAAGGTAACTCCGAGGTATGGAGTTTTGTTCCCTTTTGTTGCTAAATATAATTTAGAGCTAATATGTTATTCAGACTCTAATTGGTGTGGAGATAGAGTTGACATAAGAAGTACTTATGGATTTTTTTTAAGTATCTGGGAGGTTTCATGTCTTAGTGCTTCAAGAAGCAACGAGTGGTTGCTTTGTCAACCTGTGAAGCTAAGCACATTATAGGTGTTTTTTCTGCTTGTGAAGCTTTTCGGAATATGAACTTATTACAAGATCTGAAGATCAACTTGAGAAAGCCTATGAAATTAATAATTGATAACAAATCATCTATAAGCCTTGCCAAGAATATGGTGTTGCATGGAAGGAGCAAGCACATTCACACATAGTTTTATTTTCTGCATATTCAGATTCAAAATGGAATGCTTGAAGTTGTTCACTATGGCATTCAGAAGCAACTTGCAGATGTGCTAACCAAATAAATCAAGACTGAACACTTTATCCATTTGAGGAATGAAACTGGTGTTGTTGATTTTAATTAACTCAATATGAATTAAATGATGGTGTTAGTTGTAATTTAGATTCAGTTTCATTTGCATTTAATGTGGTTTGAAATTTGAATTTATTTTAATGGTTCTTATAGTATAAATGTTGAACTGAAGTTTCAGTTGTAACAGTTGCTGAGTGTAACTGTTTTGCATCTAAAAAATTAGTTAGAAAATTTTAATTATCTCTTCCATCATCTTCTTCATCTTTAACCTTGTGCTCCAACAAGTATAATGTTCTACTTTCTCTTTTACTTTTCCATAATAAGTAATCTATTTGAAATAAAAGCCACCTACAATGGATGACTCATTTCAATTTAAAATGCAAGTTAATTTTTTTTTATT